TAGGGCTCATTCTCCTCCATCTCAGACAGCAGCTCCAGGGCCTGCTCCTCTTCCTCTGTAGGGTAGTGGCGCAGGAGATTCGCAGCAGTGGCCAGGATTGAGGCTCCACCAGCTCCTGCCACCAGGTAGAAGCTAACAGCAAAGGTGACGTAGACCTGGGAGCCATGGTACTTCTTATGTTGCTGCTGCTGGGCCAGGATGAGTTCAGAAGCCCAGTAAGAAAAGCCAATGACAGTGGCACACTGCAGGACTGGGGGACAGAAGGACAGCACAGAAGGGAGATTAGTAAGCCTCTTGCAGCCAGGACAATCTCAGCCTTCCAGAGAGCCTGCCTGGCACCAGGCTCTGCAAGGAGGAGCTTTCTTGGCCATGGGATTCTTGGCCTGGAGCTGGGGACAGCTGCTTGACCCCATCTGGACCAGGCGGATTCTCTTTGTCTTAGGAATTTACAATTGGGCCAGGCTCATTGCCTTTATTCCTTGCTACTTGGGAAGCTGAGATTAGGAGGATCACAGTTCGAGGTCAGCCCAGGCAAAAAGTTCACAAGATTCCATCTCAATCAATAGCTGGGAGCATCCCAACTATGTAGGAGGCTGAGATTGGGAGGATCACAATTCCAGGCCAGCCCAGGCAAAAAAGTTTTCAAGATCCCATCTCACTAGGAAAAAAAGGTGGGTGTAGTGTTATACACGTATCATTCCAGCAATCGCAGGAAACTTAAAATAGGAGAACTGTGGTCCTGGCTGGTCTGGACAAAAAAAGCAAGACTCTCCCCAAAATAACCAGAGCAAAAAGGGCTGGAGGCATGATTCAAGCCACAGAGCTCAAGCACAAAGTCTTAAGTTCAAACCCCAGTACCACCCACATCCCCAATTAAAAAAAAAAAGAATTAGCAATTGGGATAGTAAGGCCGCTGGATATTTCTGAGCTGGAGTCGGCCAGCACGACCATAAGTCAAATCAACACACCAACCCAGTCATGGGACTGGAGAGCATCTGCATATAAGAGAGAAGGTTGGTCTGCAGGGACCCAGGAAGATGGAGAGAACTCAGTATGAATTCCAGTCCACGGGAGACAGCCTGGCTCCTGCCTTGCTCACTCCAGGCCCTAAGCTTAAGTGAACTTCAAATATCATTTTTAGAGAGTTCTGAGAGTCCTTACGGAGTTCTAACAACATCTCTCTACAGCTGAGCTGAGTAGGTTTGTAACCTGGCAAGTACACCCACAAATGACTGAAGTATCCGATGCTCAGTGAATGGCTAGTGCTTGTCACATGAACACATGGAATATGTCTGTTCATAGAAATGAGTCCCACATGCCATTCCACCCCATGGCAGGTCCTCCCTGACATGAGCAGGCCCAGGGCTTACCAGTGAGGATATGGGCAAAGGCATAGCGCCGGGTGATCTTCAGGGCTGGATGCTTGGGCCCGAAGACATCCAGAAGGAATGCAGAGAGACTACACAGGATGCCCAGGAAGCAGAAGGCAGCAATGACCCGCAGGAGCAGCACTGTCTGGGGGTTCATGCAGAAATCTGGGGTGGGGGAAAACCAAAGCTTCAGGTCCCAAGTAACACCCTGGGGGCAGGCAGTGCCCACCTGGGAAGGCACTCCGTTCCCCTCCATCACAGTCCCAAGGAGGCAGGGGATTCCAAAGGATGCTGTCTGTTCTTAGCTCCTGCAACCAGCTGGTCTGCAGAGGGGCTGAACAACCTCCACACTAGCAGACAGGAATCCTGGGTCACTGCTCCCATAGCTCTCAAGGGCCTTCTTTCCTAGTTGACTAGTCTGTGTGCAGGATTCCACTTCCTGTGCTTCCCTTGCCCTTCTAACCATTTTTTAAGAACCCCAATTAATTAGGCTGGCATGTTAACCTATTCTGCTAAAGGATGCACTGGGCTGGCAGACAAGCCCATTGACTTCTGAGCTAAGACATCCAGAGAAGCAAAGGCCAGAGGTCAATTCATGCCGATTCTCGATTCTCCATTAACTCATTCATTCCCTTTTATTCCAAAAAAATTGCTCTTATTCCCCTCCCCCCACCCGTGACTGGGGGTTGAACTCAAGGGCCTACACCTTGAGCCACTCCACCAGCCCTTTTTTGTGATGGGTTTTTTTTGAGATAGGGTCTCACGAACTACTTGCCTGGGGCTGGCTTCCAAATACCATGTTTTAGATCTCTACCTCATGAGTTGATAGAATTACAGATGTGAGTCACTGGCACCCAGTTAAGCTGCTGCTCTTGAAGACATTATACTAAGTGAAATGAGTCAAACTCAGAAGGACAGATAATGTATGACTGCACTCCTGAGATACCTAGACTAGTGAGATTCATAAACACAGAGAGTGGAAAGGTGGCTGCTAGGGTAGAGAAGGGGAGGACAGGGTGTTATTTAACATGTAGTTTCAGCTTGGGATGATAAAAAGTTCTGGAAATGGATGTGGTAGTGACTGTACAACAGTGTAAATATACTTAATGTAGCTGAACTAACATTTAAAAATGGCTAAAATGGGAAATTTTATGTATATATTTTACTGCAATAAAAAATAAGGAAAAAAAGAAGTTGAAGGAGTTTATAGAGAAATGTTAGGTGGGCGTGGTGGTACACACCTATAATTTCAACCTTGGAGGCTAAAGCAGGACGATCATGGAAGCCTGTGCTAGATAGTGAAACCATGTCTCAAGAAAATAAAATAAATTCTTTAAAAAAGTGTAACTACAAGAAAGCATTACATAAAATAGGAAAGACGGTAGACTGTTCTGTCATATTCATTTTTTTTGCTCACTCCCTGAACCCTACCTAGACAAAAGGAAAGACTTTTTCTTTTTTTTTTTTTAAGCCATAAACCCACCCAAAGAGAAAAGGAAGTGCAAAACAAAACTGTGAAAACTGCAAAGGAATTTAGATCACCTAGAACAGACTAAATAGAGGTGAAAGATAAATCAGCAGTGAGAAAAGCGAAGAAACAACTTGATTTACACCACAAAAGCTCCAAAAGGCTCAGAAATTGACAGCCCCAAGGGATGTACACTCTTACCAAAATAAGGAAGTAAACCAAGGAATAGGAGAGGCAGTATCCAAGGAGTCCCAGGGTCATGGTGAAGGGAGCTCCCAGCATGACAATTGTGTACCCGACACAGAGCAATTTATACTTCCTTACAGTACTTCAGTAGCACTAAATACAACAAACACTCAGCGCTGGAGGCGGAGCTCAATTAGTAGAGTGCCTGCCTGGCAAGCATGAGGCTTGCCACAAAAAAAAAAAAAAAAAAGGAAAAAAAAATCAACTAGACAACACTGTCTATCTCCTTTGATAGCTGTGCAAACTGTCATAGCTTCCAAAAAAAAAGCATGGAATTGAATAAATGCTGATCCAACAAGAAGCCAGATCATGATTAAATATTTTAAGTCTTAATAAAAAGTATGAAATGGGCCTTAACTTCCTGTTTCTCCGCTCCTCTTTTTCAGATATTGGCAAGGTCTTCTTTCATTCAAGCCATGTATCATCAAGTGATTTAGAAAAACTTAGAAAGGACTGGCCAGAGTCAGGCTCCTTTCCTGAATCTTGAGGTCAAGTCAGCACTCTGTGGGGTGGTAATGATCAATCTCTAGTGCACATCCCAGTCACTGAGATGCTGTTGCGAGCATGTTTCAGGCTCCCAGAGGATCTGAGTTCTAGGCCTAGCATGAAGCCTAAGAATCTGGATTTTAACAAGCAGCCCTGGTAACCCCTGTGTAGGTGGCCCAAGTCACACTCTTCAAGAAATACCAATTCCAGACACTACAGGAAGAGGAACTCCTAGATACAAGTTCAAGAAATGGAGAAGGGACCCAATGCCAACAAAGCAGATTCAACCTAGCAGATATTAACATCATTGGGTCTTGGACAGAAGGAGGCCCCAGGTCTTTGTAAATGACAAGCATACACTGCCTCAGGCTAGAATTCTCCAGGCAGATATTGGCTAACCCAGACAAGGCTTATGTGCCTCCATCTGGCTTTGGGTCACCTACCAAGGTACCCTCAGCTATCTACCATGATCTTGTGTGTCGACCATCTGTTTGAGGGCCAAGCATCTAGCCTGGGTGATTGCCTACTGACAAGAAGCTTGCCTGTGACATAAGTTCTACTACCAGCGAGCATCAGCCCTCATTGCATCCTGCCCTGCATAACCTCAGGCAGAGTGAGGGCCTGAAGGAATCTAAAAATCCATGGAACCTCAAGGAAAGAAATGCTTCAGGAGGCAGGAGCTGTTTTCTGGCTATATTTTGAATATTGTTAAAAGCTTCTTGGGATCTATGTGGCATGTGGCAGGGATGGGGCAGGATGCAAGTGTTCTTGTGCTTCCAAGAATAACCTGCAGAGGCAGGTATAAAGGCTGACATCAGAGACCACTCTGCAGCAGGCCGTGGCAGACTCCACTCCCATTACTCTATGCAGCCAGGCACTCTGAGGGAAGAAAGAAATACACCAAGGCTTCAAAGACACTATATTTTGTTTTTTCTGTTGATTGGTGGGCACAGGATGTTCCTTTTATTATCCTTAAAAATGCACATCTATTATGTCCTATGTGCCTTATGTTTCATAATGTTTAAAAATAAGAAAGATATGCCCATGACAAAAAGCTTCACAGAGTTCATCCTTCCCCTTCCAGATGTTCACTTGCCCCTCCCCAGAGGCAAACATCAAAGTGTCTTGCACGGTCAGACACTGGTGGCTCATGCCTATAATCCTAGCTACTCAAGAGGAAGATATCAGGAGGATCATGGTTCAAAGCCAGCCCAGGCAAACAGTTAGAGACACTCTATCTTGAAACAAACCCATCACAAAAAAATGGTTCAAGGCATAGGCCCTGAGTTCAAACTGCAAAAAAAAAAAAGTATCTTGCACACCCTTGTGGGAGGAGCCTATGACAAGGAACAGTCACATACTACCTCTGTTAATCTTAATGGCCATTCTGGAGGAGTCATCACCTAGCTCAGATGAGGATTCTGAGGCTACCAGAGGTTAAGTGCTCTGCATGGTACCAACTGGAATGACCAGCAGCTTAATTTTCTCTGATGGAGATAATCAAATCCTAATAAGGAGTATTTGAATGAAAGATCAAAGCCAATATATAGGGCTGGAAACATAGCTCAGGAGTAGAGCATTTGCTTATTAGCATGCACAAGGCTCTGGGTTTGGTCCCCAGCACCCCAAAGAAAAACAAAAAATAAATATGAATGCTGTCTGAGCCAGCAGCTGCTGAGCTCACAAAACGGGCAGCTTGATAACTAGAATCTAAGAAACAAAAAAAAGCAAGAAAAGTTCAGGTCATCAAACAATAAGAAGTACTCATGGGGGGACCTAGTGGGCAAAACCTGTTTAGTATGTTGTTTAAGCCACTGTAGCACTGCAGCTACCAGCATCTAGCTGGGATGTGGTCAGGACACCAGAAAGGATCTCAACCCAGGGCCAAATCCTAGGTCTGCCTCTGTAATCCCATGGATCAAATGAAAGCAGCAACACCTGCCTCCCCCATCACAGGGTGCACTGAGAGGGTCAACTGATGCTTGTGCCCAGGAAAGAGCAGCTGCCTGTACTGTTACTGCCCCGCTAACCAGGGGCTATTTTAGCTGGGTCACAGCAACATCACCCTGATATGCCTTTTACTCTTTAAAAAATGTTTTCTTATTTCTATCTACTTATTTATTTATTTTTGAAGTAATGGGGATTGAAACTGGGGCCTTGTGCTTGCCTAGCAAGTGCAATACCACTTGAGCATCAGCCTGTGCCTTTCCTTCTTGCACTGAGATTTCCTGGACCAGTGGTCAGAGGAAAAACCGACTAAAGCCACACTAAGGGTCTGCCCCGCCAGAGAGGAAATGTGGTACAGAGAAGGGGCTTCTACCCCAAAACTTGAACAGGTTTTGTTTCAACTGCCACTCTACTCCAAAGCTATAAGCTGTGGGGTAGGGTAAAAGCTAAATGTGAACTTTCCTTTGGGTGATTTTAATGGATAATCAGAAGCCTGCCACCGGCCCCCCACCCCGACACAGGTGGTCTTTCATCAGGAGGGTCTCAGAGTACTGAGGCAGGAGAGGCCATTATCCCAGTTATGCTGAGTGCCCAGCTCAGAATTTCTCCTGAGGCCACTATCTCAATGTGTCTCACTTCCCTTCCTACACAGGGAAGGACAATGAACATTCACTCCCTTGAGAAGACTGTGAGACACAAAGCCACCAAAGATTATATAGGTGTGACTCTATTTGTGGGAGAGAAAGGGCACACAGGGCAAGGCTCTGTACTTAAATTCAAGCCAGGGGTATGGTCCATCATACTCTAGCAAAACAAACACATCCTACCCTCCAGCTGTGCTCTGGCCTCTTTATTCTGGTAAGCACTGCTTTACCATCCCTTCTAGTCATCCGGGAAGAAGGCAGCTGCTGTGTAATAGGATTCTGAAGAACTGACTTTGCCCAAGGTCACTACTGAGTCACCCAGCTAGATTTGTTTTGAAGGCCCTGGCTCTTCCTGTCTACCTGCTCATTGCACCAACCCCCTCCTGACCCATAGGAAGGAGGACTACAGTGGTTTCGGACCAGCCCCCACTGTGTCTCAGCTCCTTTCCTCCTCACTTGGGTCCCTGCAGAGTAGAGGCACCACTTCCTCCCTGCCTCAGTCCTGCTCTGCATCATCTTGCCTTCTCAACCTTCCCTCAGTGTGCTTTTTGGTTTCTAGACAGGCCTCTGACATAAGCCATCAATAGGGCCTCCTAGTACCCAGAGGGTCATTCTACAGATACCAATGGTGCTATCAGAGCTGCCTCAGGACAGGTCCCTCAGGACCTGGCAGTACTGGCTACATGTCATCATACCTCCTGCCTGTCACAGACCCTCCCTGGAAAGCTCTTGATTTTCCAGTGGCTATTGTCAGTCATGATGCACCTGACTATAAATCCCAAACTTCCTCATTCTCCAAAGATGCTCCCTGAGGCTGCTGTTGGGGCTGCCCTTTGCTGGCCACACTGGAAAAAGGCAGACAGGGCTGGGAGTCCTCTTTCCCAAGGCCACTAAAGGCCTGAGCATTTCTCTGGACTCAGGCCCAGGTTGAAGAGCTATGAGAGGAAGCTGGCAGCCCTGGGGGGAGTGGAAGAATTCAGGATGGAATCTGCTGAGCTGGTTGGCATTTGCTAAAGCCTCCAAGAGGTGACAGCAGAAGGTGGCTTTTCCTCAGGATCTCTGAGGCAGTGTGAGGTAAAAACTCAACTAGAATAGGGAAATGATAAGCCTCAGGCCACTATGACTGAAAGAAAAAGAAACTTGGAGAGCACTAAGGTGTGGTGGTCATAGGTAAGGACTGGAGTCAACAGTACTCAGATTAGCTGTGTATCACTGAGCAGATTACTTAAACTCAAAATCCCAAACTGAAAGCTTTGTGAAGTAGGGCTGATGACAGTGCCTACCAAACAAAGGTGTTGTTTAGGAGAATCTAAGAGCAGGTATGTAGTGTGCTTAGCATAATGCCAGTGCCTCGAATACAGACAGGTGTTCCAGAGCCTGCTCGGCCACCCCACTCCCCATCACCTGCAGAGATCTGGCAGAGTGTGTTCTCCCTCTGGAAGTATCTATATGCACCACATTTGTGCCACACAGTACAATATTCTGGGCTTCCAGGTCATGACATCTGTTTGGCCCTGAAAATTAGCACAGTTGCACAGGATACCATATGTCTGGGTACCAAAAACCAACAGGTGGAGAAAAAAAGGAGAGGAGAAGCAATCAGGAACTCCTGATTCCACACCTTCTGTGATGGCTCATGAGGCCCCACTGCCAACTCTATTATCAGGCACGAAGAGCTCCTGGCTGGCAATGGCCGAGACAGCCGCAGGCAAACAGGCAAAAACTACATAGGCTAAGATATCTAAATACATAGCAAATGCAGGGTAAAGGTTAAGGCAACATGCTTTAAAAATACAAGTCTGAATAATTTCTTAGAAAGGGTAAATATGTATATGAACAAAGAAGAACCTGCACTAAGAACTTAGTTTTATTTTAACATGCCTTTGACAAGGATGCATACCAAAGTACAGTATCATGAGATCATTCTTTACAACAGCTGAAGTAAAACAAAGGATAAAAACCATCAAGGAGGGGTGGGGGCAGGGGGGAGAAATGAACCAAGCCTTGTATGCACATATGAATAATAAAAGAAAAAAAAAAAAAAAACATCAAGGAGACAGCACCATTTTATACTGGCATCAACAGATGGGAGGTAATTTCAGCGATGCCACCCAGCTGGGCAGCCAAGCGAAAACTACTTTCCGAGCCAGTTTCCTGGATCTCTGAATAAGGATGTAGGATCAGATCAACTCCCCCTCTATCGTGAATTTTATGAATACTCACCCCCACACACACACCCTAGAGATTGATGATCTGCAAAGAGGAAGCAGCTCCTAGTTTGCGTGTGACAATAAACTCCTGAAACACGAGGGGATCAAGTACAAAAGGCCTGAATGAAATGGAGGGAAGGTGGTGGTTGTGCTCTCAAAGCAAGTGCAGCAGAATGTGCTGAGGGGAAAACCATCCAGACTCACTCAAATTTTATAGCCTTTGTGCCATCATCTACATGTCAGGGAAGCAAACTGCGTATCACAACACCTCCCTCAGGTGTATAAACTGAGTTTTAAAGACCCAACTGAGTCAATGGTATCAGGAGATTAAAACATGGAAACAAACCAGAAGCCCCCATCCTGTTGTCTATAAAATCATTCTAAAGCTTCTAAAACTCAAGAGAGAAGCAAAAACTCAAGAGAAAGCTCCAAAGATGGTAGGCCAAAGGAAAAGGCTTTTCAGCCTAGACCTGCAGCAGTGGTGTATAATCTAATGCTCAGAAAACTTGGACCTTTTCAACAGATATCAGGGCCTGAATCCTTCATGAGGCAACATGCAGCTCTCTAACAGGAAGGGCTTCTGATACACAGGGCAGCAGATATCTGGAATGCATCATAGCCAAAGTAGTGAAGAAAACACAAAGATCTCCAAGAATGGTTCAAAAGACTGTTCTTGAGAGTGATGAATTGTACTGTTCCTAAAGACTGTTTGGGGTCCACTGACCATTTTTAGGTTAAAAACCAGGCAGTGCAGTCTTCTCTCACACCACACAGCCTTTACCCTCACTTCTGGAGACAGGATGAGACTGCATGAGCTATGGTGTTGGCTGGGACAGGCCTTCCTGAAGGTTCTGGACTCCCTCTTCACCCCACAGAGAGAACAGTCACTTTCTTCTGTCTACCTGGCTGAGAAGTGTGATGATAAACAAAGCAACCTTACTTCAGTCAAGCATAGTTGTGAAAGCCAATTCTAACTATTGAGAGTGATGATGGAACTGACCTCTGATGACCTAAAATGACAGACTTCTGCCCTTTCTCTAATAAAAGTCCAATTACCACAAAATACTAAAATGTCTTTTAAAATCTAGTCATATTAAAAGTTCCTTTTTCTCCATCAAGTTGGCTGCCCCAAGCAGCTGTCCTGTGTCCTACAGGTTCCTTAGAAATGGATGGCCAATGGTGATACCTAGCACCCTTATCTTTTCTCTACAGACGGCGTCCTTCCTCTGGCAGAATCCTAAAATAGCAGCAGTCCGAATTAGCATGGCTGTGAGTAGGTGCTTAGCTGAATAACATCATAATTAATGAGGGGCTGGACCCCAAACAGAGCCACCTGGTGGGCATGAACACCAGGCAGGAACAGGGCTCTTTCCTGCAACCAAAGTGCCTGCCCTCCGGATATCTTAGCTTCAGCCAGTTCGACAATCTGCACCGCCCTCCACTCCCGGGGGGCAGGAGCACAGCTCTCTCACCTTTCAGCAGGTCCGGGTGCACGTAGCCCAGCACGTCGGAGACCCCCAACTCCTGGCGGGAACAGGTGCCTCCGTGGATGTGCAACCAGGCGGGCTCGGCGAGGGCAGTGCATAACGCCGTGATGGACAGGGCACCAGGCAGGGCCGAAGCCAGACTACGCTCCGGCTGCTTGGGCAGAGCGCTGCCTCCCGGGCTCCTCCGCCGGCGCCCGCCAGGCAGCCCAGCGCCTCCCGGGGCATACATGCCCAGGGCCGCCCGCCGTCGCTCTGCGGTCACTGCTGATCGCCGCCGACCTCCGCGGGGCGCGCAGAGCCTGCCTGTCCCAGGGAGAGCAATGTACTGGGTCGCCGACGCGGGGCTGTCAGGACCAACAGCGGATGGGGGAGGGGGTGGAACCCAGGGCTGAGCTGAGACCCGAGGACTGCAGGGATTCGGGGGGCGGGGACGGAGGACTCTGGATTAGGGGTGCGGGAGGAGAACCCGGAGAAGGCTGTGAGCTAGGTGGGGTCTGGGCAAACCAGGATAAGGGTGGCGGAGGCACTGAGGATCCGGTACTGAGGAGCGGGGAGAGAAAGGAGGATCGGGACCTGGGTTCTTGGCCAGAGGGTACAGAGGGGCGGAGGACGCAGCTGGGCCGCGGGAATCAGGCACCCGGGATCTGGGACCGGCACTTTGGGGTGAGACCCGGGTGGAAAAAAGACCCTCCCCACTCTGACCCCTGTTCCTCACCGGTCAGCAGGCCTCAGGGCAGGAATGGCGCCACTCCGGCCCGTCACGGGCTTCTCAGCTGCCCGGGGCCGAGCGATCCCAGGCCCGAATCCCGCAACGCCCAGACAGACCCGGGCCGAGGCACTTCCGGCTTCCTCCTCTTCTACCTCCGCCTCCTTCGGCTCCCCGCCCCGCCCCCCGCGCACGTCACGGCCTGCGCACGCCGCAGGCTCTCCGAGCAGAGCCTCATGGGATCGGTAGTTCCGAGCGGTCCTGTGAGGCTTCCCACGAAAGAGCGAGGGGAGCGACTACAACTCCCAGAGGGCCGTTTGGCAACAACAGCGGGCGCTTCGGTTCCCTGATCGACCCTGACCCTCGGGCGGAAGCCGGAGTCTGCGGCGGCAAAGGGGTGGGCGCCGTGGATCCGCCGTCTGCGCGCTGACTCTGCCCGTTTCCTCCTCATCCAGCTCCGACCATCATGAAGGATTCGCTGGTGCTGCTGGGCCGCGTTCCGGGGCACCCTGACTCGCGCTGCTGGTTCCTGGCCTGGAACCCCGCGGGAACCCTGCTGGCCTCGTGCGGTGGCGACCGTAGAATCCGCATCTGGGGCACCGAGGGTAAGGGCTGGCCTAGCTTCGCGACCTCTGGTACGGAGGTTCCGCGCGCGCGTAGTGTGAATGCCGGAGGAGAGGCGACTTTAGAGTGGGACGTTAACCCGAGTAGGGTTTGTCCGGGATGCAGACTGTAAGTACTGGATGCAAAACGTCAACAGACAGGCTAGGAGTGTTACAGAAATTGGGATAGTTGCTGAGGCAGGAAAATGGGGAGGGGGAGGAGAGTAATTTGCAGCATTTGGGAGCCATTGACAGTTTTAAATTAGGAACGTGACACCTCAGATTTGTTTTAGAAGGATGCCTCCAGAGGAAGTAGGCAGTTACATCTTTGTGAAAGCATGTTGTTGAATGCAGATTGAGCATTGTCCCACTGCTGGACTTCAGCTATAGTCCCTATTATTGAATGGATATACACCCAGCTCCAGAGCCTAGCCTGTCCTCTGTCTATAGGTGACAACTGGATCTGCAAGTCTGTCCTTTCTGAAGGCCATCAGCGCACTGTTCGAAAAGTGGCCTGGTCCCCCTGTGGGAATTACCTGGCCTCTGCTAGCTTTGATGCTACCACTTGCATTTGGAAGAAGAACCAGGATGACTTTGAGGTAACAGGCTGGATGGGACCAGATTGTTGCATGTTGGCTCTTCAGGATTAGTTTATGAACCAGAGCCCTCCTGGGCCAGTTGGGCTGTACCCATGAGAAGGCTATAGCCTTCTTAACTTTTGCACTATGACATTTGTGACCATAGATTTTGACTAAGCCTTAGGAATCTCAGCCATCGTTAATTCTCACCCCTTTTCCTTTTCAGTGTGTAACCACTCTTGAGGGCCATGAAAATGAGGTCAAGTCAGTGGCTTGGGCCCCATCTGGCAACCTCTTGGCCACCTGCAGCCGAGATAAGAGTGTGTGGGTCTGGGAAGGTGAGTCCTTTCCAGGGGGAGTAAAACCAGCTCACAGACATTTCTCTCTGGGACCTTCACAGCTCATCTTCAGTTCCTTTTTTTTGCAGAACTGGGATTTGCACTGAGCCTCATTCTTGCTAGGCAGGCACTCTTACTGCTTGAGCCACCCCACCAGCCCTTTTTTGTAGTTGGTTTTTTCAAGATAGGGTCTCACAAACTATTTTCCCAGGCTGACTTTGTGCCTCAATCCTCCTGATCTCTGCTTCTGAGTAGCCAGGGTTACAGGTGTGAGCCACCAGCACCCAGCTCATCTTCACTTCCTTTCTTATTTTCTTCCACAGTTGATGAAGAGGATGAGTATGAATGTGTCAGTGTCCTCAACTCCCATACCCAGGATGTCAAGCATGTGGTTTGGCACCCAAGCCAGGAGGTAAGAGTCAGGCCAGGTCTCTTGGTAGAGGGAACTCTTCCTTGGTAGGAAGGAACTCTGGTGTGGAAGCTTGTACTGTCTTCCTGTGCTCTTCATCCTCAACCTGACTTTTATAGGACTCTATGTGTGTGAAAAACATTAGTCCCCTTGTAAAAACAGACCTTTGGGACTAGCCTGTCCTAGCAGGGGGAGGTATTGGAACCACAGGTACTTCCTGGGCCATACAGACCTGTGCCAGGTCTCCTTCCCCTCTCCCCCAGCTGTTAGCCTCTGCCAGCTATGATGACACAGTGAAGCTGTACCGGGAAGAAGAGGATGACTGGGTCTGCTGTGCCACCCTCGAGGGCCATGAATCCACTGTATGGAGCTTGGCTTTTGACCCCAGTGGCCAGCGCTTGGCATCTTGCAGTGATGACCGTACTGTGCGCATCTGGCGCCAATATCTACCAGACAACGAACAAGGTGAGGGTAGAGCTAAAGGAGATTTCTCTCTCCAGGTTCACAGTCTGCTAAGACACATCTGTCAGTTGCAGCAAATTGGAGTAAAAGTAACATGTACCAGAAGAGGGTTCCAGATAGAGTGTTGAAAGAGTTGGGAAAAGCTTTGTGGAATAGGGTATTTCATCCAAATGTGAGAGGGTGTGTAGGATTTTAACACAAGAAGAAAATTTCCAGTGATAGCCCAACAGCAAGCGTAGGCATTAGTGGTAGAAATGCCTGAGATGGGACAGAGGAAAGAAAGGGGTTGGGGAGGAATAAACTGGGTTGGGTCGATTAGTGGGTGGCCTTAAAAGGCAGGCTAACTAGTAAGATATAGCCTGTGGTGTAATAGGAATGTTTCTTCTCAGAATTCTTGTGTGGCCGGTGTGTATGACAGATAAGGAAAATGGGGACAGAGGCTTGGAGACAACCCATGACTGATTAAAGATGGGGTGAGGGAGGGCAAGTTAGGTTCTCCTGCAGTGATGCAGTTACTCCCCTGGACATAGACATGTCTTAGGCTTAAGAGAAGTCTGTCGTGCAGGGGTGGCATGCAGTGGCTCTGATCCCAGTTGGAAATGTATCTGCACATTGTCGGGCTTCCACTCCAGGACCATTTACGACATTGCTTGGTAAGGCCTCCATCTCCCAACCCCCATTATAGGGATTTTAGAAATGTCATGACCCTGTGCTTCTGTCTACCACCTTGGGAATGAATGGGAGTTGAGAGCAGCCACCCCTATTTCTTCAGATCAGGTCTGTCTACCATGCTGGCTTAGAGTTGGTTGGCCTGGGGTTCATAGGAGCAGGAAGCCAACCTAGACCCAGGTCTGTTCCAGGGTTAAGATCTCAGGCTATAAGCAAATACAAAAAAGCAAAAACAAAACAAGACAAAGATTCCAGGCTGTGCAGGTAGTACTAACCATTAAGGTTCACACAGCATGGTACTGTCCTGAAATTACTCAATCTGTGGGTTTATGATTGGGGTCTTTATGTTTGGTAACAGTGACTACTACTCTTACGGAAGCTAGAAAAGCCATTCACACAGAAGAGGAGGCCAGAGGGCAATTCTGACCCTGAGAATTGGATCTAAAAAATAATTCCAGTACATGAGAAAAGTTGATGTGCATTAAAATGGCTTTATGTTAGCAAACATTTTAGAATAACCTATATAAGAATAACCTAAGCTGGGCACAAGTGGCTCACACGCCTGTAATCCTAGCTGCTCAGGAAGCAGAAATCAGGAGGACCATGGTTGATTCTAAGCCAGCTGTGGTTCATAAGACCCTATCTTGAAAATACCCAAAACAAAAAGGGCTTTCAGAGTGACTCAAGTGGTAGAGCACCTGCTTAGCAAGCATGAGGTCCTGAGTTCAAACCCTAGTATCAAGCCCCCTCACAACCAAAAAAAAAAAGAATAACCATAATATATTCAACAAAATTGGGCTTACAGTGTGGTAAAATTCAAGTCTATTATATCATTGCTTAAAAAAAAAAAGGTTAAGAATACTTCATGACATGGGCAACTGCGCATGCTAAATGGGAAAAGTACAATTCAGAATTGTATGTAGGTTGATTATTTTAGGTTATTTATACTGGGGAAAAACTAGGTGGAAGCACCTAAGACTTAGGAAGGTGATGTTTGTGGCTCTGTCTTAGCCAAGAAAGCTCTTTGAAACAGACTTTTCAAAGGCCTGAAATTTGGGAAGAGAACAGACCAGGGATTGTGGAACAAATTTAACTATCTGATTTGCCAAGTTGGGGAGACAGGAGGCATCTGCATACCCACTGATCCTGTGTTCCTCCCAGGTGTCAGCTGACAGGGGCCCTGGCTACAGCTTGTGGGGATGATGCCATCCGAGTGTTTGAGGAGGATCCCAGCTCAGATCCGCAGCAACCCACCTTCTCCCTGACAGCTCACCTGTGTCAGGCCCATTCCCAGGATGTCAACTGTGTGGCCTGGAATCCCAAGGAGCCAGGACTCCTGGCCTCCTGCAGTGATGATGGGGAGGTGGCCTTCTGGAAGTATCAGCGGCCTGAAGGTCTCTGAGCTACCTTGCCTTGGGAGATTTATGGTTCCCCAGAAAATGTCCTAAGACTTTCTGTCACTCAGGACCTGAAAAGGCATCCTTAGCCCTTCATTTAATTTGGCTCATTTCTATTCAGACTTGGGTAGAAGTGTACAGCTACAAGATCTTTGACGTGAGGGCCTCAGTAGGCCCACAGAACATCAGTGCATTGTTATGCCACAGATTTGCTTGCTTTAGGGCATGGTGTTACATTTTGGGGGTGAATATAGTATTTATAATTGCTATATGTATGTAGGAGTGGGGTGTCTCAGACCTTTCTGAAATTGTAAGCTTTACAGAAGTATTCCATCTGTCCCAAGTTCTGTTTTATAAGGACAGTCACAGTTTTATAGAATTCCATTGTGATTTGTCTAAAGTCATCCCACTTGCCCCAGTTTCTAGATAAAGCCTTGCATTTAAGGCATTCAAAACTGAAACTTTTTTTCCTTAATGTAGGTTTGTTCAGAGTAAAGGGTCACCTCTGTTTTGCCTTAGAAATCCTTACACGCTTCCTGTCATCTGATGGTAGTGTGGGGTATGAAAAAAATAAATGGGCATGACATGAACCCCAAAAGGGAGAATTATTCCTGGCCACAGGCCATGCATTCTCACTAGAGATGCAAACTGGTTCTTCAGTGAAGGGCAAAAAGCATTTTACAGACAATAGTTTGTGGACCTCTAAAGGACCACAGCACATCCTGTGGTGTTAAATTTCCAAAGTGGAGGGAATAATTAGGAAAGAGAATGAGTGATAGTGAAAATCAGTTGAGAAACACTGCCTATGTCAGTTCTTCAGTTTCCACTTGTCTCTTGACTGAGATGAATGGGTTTGGATATGAAGGTTGTCCCCAAAGTTTTAGCCTTCACTTCATCTCTTACACTGTGAAATCATGACCTTACATTTTAGAAAGGCAGCTGAGGCAGAATCTAAAGCACTGGTTCTTAAGATATTCTGCAGATCTCTAGGAGTCAAAGACCTTTTTGGGGTCGGCACCATGGCATAACAAAGACAGTAGTACCAAACCAACAAGTAGTTGTAGTCTTTACTGCCTTGCACCACAGTAGAAATACTGCCAACTTAATTTAGAAGTGTTCATGATAGAAGCAATAAAAATTATTAATTATATTAAATGTTGACCGTTGAGAACACTTCCAATACTCTGACAAAATGGAAAACATACATAAAGCACTTCTGCACACTGAAGTGTGTTGTCTTTAGGAAAAGCAGTTGAACAACGGAGTACAAGCTGAAGTTGCTTGTTTTTCATGGCATACCATTTTTACTAGAAAGAACTAGCAAGTCATGGTATTAGACTTGACTATGTGACATGTTTTGGAAAATGAACAGAACGGGGCTGGTGGAAGAGGCCCAAGTGGTACAGTGCCTGCCTAACAAGCATGAGGCCCCATGTTCAACCCCTAGTACCACCAAAAATAAAAACTGAAAGCAATCAACCTTCACTGATGGTGTTCACTGCCAATGGTAAAATGAAAGCTTAAAAGCCAAAGTTAGGATTTCCGAAAAGTTGTATTTCTACCAAAAGTTTTACTGATAGTGATATTAACAAATGTGATTTGTATAATAAAATGCACTGACATTTGGAAGATGTGCATAATTCAGTTAATCAAAATTTTCCAAATGACTGACACAGTGATGTTATAAAACCATTTAAGTAAGAAACTTATGCAAAGCATAAGGCTAGTGGGTTTAATGTACCAGTACAAGAATACATGGGATAAGGTTTCAGATCCCACATTGCCTTTAAGAAACTTTCACATATAGTCTTGGTGTAGTAGCATCCAAGAATAGCCAGTTACCTCAAAAGGTTATTTAAACTCCTCTTTTCCAATCTCAACTCCAACCACATATAACAGATTGAAGGCAGAAGCTGCCTAGAATCCTGACATGTATTAATAAACTAGACTTTGTGATTGCAAAACTGTAACTTGCTATTATTCTCCTTTAATTTTTTCATAGAAGATATTAACAATGAAATTACTTTAAAATAGTTATTTTATAATTTTTAATATAGTAAATATCAATATAACCTACATAATAAAAGCTTTGGGGGTTCTTAATTTCCCATAGAAAAGGGCCCTGAGGTCAAATCATCTGAAATTGCTGACCTAGGGAAACTGTCCTTCAAAATTACCTTTCCTTTTTGTGCACATTTATTCCTTGAACAACAGAAGGCAGGAATTTGACAAGCCAAGTCTAAAGACTGGATTACAAAATTAGTTTACCAAAACTGGGTCGTATCTAGTTGCTACATTTTAATCCCCTTTTATTGCCGTCTCCTGTTAGGACTACAGCATTTCACATTGCCTATTTTGAAAATCCCTGACCTACCACACAGGAGCTGTATGGGTAACATACTGAGGAGAGGGGCAGAGGTCACAAGCCCAACTGAAAAACTACTTGCCAATGTTGCCTTCTCCTAACTGAAACCCAACGATGGCAGCTCTGTCCTCCACAAGAACTCAATAAGCAAGTTCAAAAGATTTATTTATTAGAATGTCTGACTCAAAAAGAACTACGAAGAGCATACTAAAAATGCTGTACACACTTTATGCTTGACATGACACCTACAGATATGGGACCCAGAGTTTGGACTGTAAGGTGGCCAAAGGGAAAAGTAAGTGGAGGTGGGCTGGGACAGCACCAGCTCTGACTGGCAAGACCTCAGGCCAAGAGACCTGGTCTCCATGACCAAGATCCTTCAACTGTACATAGTCCTGATGCAGGCTCAACTCTCCTCTACACATGATGAATTCTTCAGACTCAATCCGAATCACTGTCTGTCTCAGCTTCTTTCACATCCACGCTGAATTTATACTCTTGGTCACATCCCATATATGCATCACTCATGAAATACAGGGTATAGTTGTGGGCACCTGTGGCTGGGGCCACAAAGTCCAGCTTCACCTAGAAAGAGCAGGCAGAAATTAAGCCATCATGGACAAAGAGGAGATGATCTCCCCCTTCCACCACAGGACAGATGCGGGGGCCACTACATACACTCACCTTAGCCTTCTGCTGCAGAGTCAGCCTCTTGATGGAGATAAGGCTATTGGACTTGGCATCTCCAATCACCACCCACCAGCCCTCTTCACGTTTCTGTAGTGATCAAAGACCAAGAATTTTAGCATGTACAACTTGATGGCCACATGCAACAGAGAGACTGCTACAAAAATAACAAAAAGAAACCAGAAAGTTTTTCAGAGTTCCTTCCTGAACTACATTTTGATATACTAAGAATCTGAAACTGTTGAAAGGTGTCTCAAAAGGATTTAATCTAAGTCGGTAACCCAACTTTTTTTTTTTTTTTTTTTTTGGTGCTCGCTATCATTGTCTAAAATTACCTTCTCATTTAGCATTTGCCCACTAAATCTAAGATTACACTATAAGAGCTCTGGTTTTTGGAACTGAGCAGCTTAGAGTTCCTCAGAGACCCTGGTAAGTATAAGACATATATGCCAAATAAGAAAAAGCTTAACATAGAGATGAACCAGCAGCAGAGACGATCCAAAGTCGGAATGTGGGGTCTCTTCTGAAGCCTTGCCTCTGTTAAGATGCCCTCTGTTGGCCACTCTATTTTCATAGACTGTGTGTCCCAGTTTAACACATTATTTCCTCAGAGCCTGCTGAAGATCTAGTCTACAGAACTAAACATGAAGTTTATCTGGTATCTGTTGTCAGCCTTCAATTAATCTCTCATACTAGATTTTCTTCATGGAGAAAACCATGCAACTAGAAGCAAAGTGAAAAAGAACTGAGAAGGAAATCCAATTGGAAGTCCAAATGTCCTAGAATCATTTAGAGACAAACGCTTTTTTTTTTTTTTTAAACCAGCTCTCCTCTTTTGGAGGAAGCTTTTAGTTTGTTTTGCAGAAGGGGCTCATGATAACTTTGCTTAGATCAGCCATGGACCAGGATCCTCCTACTTCTGCTTCTTAAGTAGGTGGGACCACAGGCATGTATCAAATTCAGTGCCTCAATTCGCTAGGCAGGCAATCTTACCACTTGAGCCACTTCACCAGCCTTTTTTTTTGTGATGGGGTTTTTCAAGATAGGGTTTCACAAACTATTTACCCAGGGCTGACTTCAAACCTTGATCCTTCTGATCTCTGCTTCCTGCATAGCTAGGGTTACAGGCATGAGCCACCGGCCCCTAGCCATTATAAGTGCATCTTAATAGTCACAGAGTGATTGACAATACTGCCCAGCTTATATATACATATAGATGTTTGTTTGGCAATACTAGGGTTTGAACTCAGGGCTTCACACTTGCTAGGTAGGAGGTCTACCATTTGAGCCATACCTCCAACCCCAAATGATCTTTTTAACACTGACCGATCATTTAGATTATTTAAAAGCAAGCAGGAAAGAAAACGAACAATACATATTCTCTTTGTTATGAGTTCATTACCACTTTAAACTTCTTTCCCCTGGTGGGAAATGTACCCTGTACCCAGGACCTAGCCAGCGGACAGGGCCTTGAGTCAACACCTGATAAAGCCAGCTGCCAAGACATACCTGTGGGAAGAGAGGTGCAATAACAGGGCCTGTGACTTCCTCCTCTCGTTCCAGCTGTACCAGCACCACAACTGGCCCACCACTGCAGGGGAATCATGACAGCATGTGAGTGACATGGCATGGTCTCTCCATGCACTGTACCCAGCAGCGATCCCAGGGCAGGGAGCCTGGCCCTCATTGACTCACCTGCGGATGCTGTCCTTTTCAACCACTTCATAAGACAATTCAATATTAGGGTAGCGGTTACAGAAGCGGGCCACATCTGCAATCTGGCTGTCAGTAAGCTGAAGCAATGCATTTCTTTCTTCATCTTCCATCTCCATGATGTCAAAAACACTCTCCACTCCCTGCAATGAGCATGCAGAGGTCAGGAGAGTAGAGAACACAAACTATGAACTCTAAAGGGCTGATCATCTTATTTCCCACACTGCCAGATCATCTAAAGAAGACAGCTCTAGAAAGAACTCAACACACAACTGGCAGACTCTCAGCATCTCAACATGGAACCTGTTCAGAGGAACAAGAAGGTCCCCTGCTTAAGCTCACCTCACACAACCCACTCCCAGCCCAAGGTACTTGGATCTCAGGCTCACCCACCCAACAGTCCAAGTCCATCTGGCTCACCTTATCTGTGCAACGTTTGATATGCTCTGAGGTGAAGTGTGGTAGCTGCTTCAGGTATGAGTCCTTGGACCACATGGCCTGGGTGACCATCTGGGCCAGTTCCATGGCTGCTAGAGCAGGGCTGAGCCAGCCATTGCTAGAGAGCACATCCACACAGGCCTGAATGAGTCGGATTGCCTGCATGGGGGCAAAGTACAAGAGCAGGTAGGGTTAGAACCAAGCTTTCCGAGGCCACTACTGGCTTATGCAACCCATACCACACCTATACCCTTACCTACCTTACTAAGGATTTCTTCTGTGTCAGACTGCAGCTCAGCACTTAGCTGCATGCGAGACAGGTGAGCCTGCAGGAGCAGGTTGGTCTTCACATGTGGATCATTGAATTTAGGATTATTCAGCTTGTGAGGGACCTTCTGAGCCAACTGAAATGTGGAAGAAAAAGAAGTGATGATGAACAGGTGACCCTGCCTGAGAACATGTCAAATCAAAGGCACCACATGGCCCAGGCTCCAGAGGAGAGGAGTGGGGAAGACAGAGAATTGTGGGAAGGGGTATGGGGGTGGAAAGATGTCTGAGGGACAGGGAGGTATGAAGAATGGTGGGTGGGGTACTAGTCACAGAATGCCATGTGCTGTGGGCACACAGGCCAAGTTTCAACTCAGTGGATGTTCTCCTGAAGCTGAAGTCCCCACCTGCCGCAGAAGGTTGTCTTCATGGTGCCGGATAGGAATGTTCTCGTACTCTGCTGCATTTGAGATGATCTCAATAAGCCCTCGAACCTTGGTCTTGGCATTCAGGGACATACTAAAGAGCTCTGACAGAAAATAAGCAAATGTGTGAGGAGCCAAAAGCATGTAGAAAAAGAACAGAGGGTGAATAGAGACAAGAATTAAGTGCTTGGGTTACACTGCTCTCCCACAATACCAGCTCTCTAACAAACATGGGACACTTGCAGCCCTGTCATCTCTCATTCCAGTGGACTCCAGAGCCCCACACAAGGAGAAGGCTTCCCAAGCCAGGTGCCAGCGGCTCACGCCTGTGATCCTAGCTACTCAGGAGAAAATATCAGGAGGATTGCGATTCAAAGACAGCCTGGGCAAATGGTTCACAAAAACCCTATCTCAGGAAAAAACTATCATGAAAAAGGGATGGTGGAGTGGCTCAAGGTGAATGTCCTAAAGTTCAAGCCCTAGTACCACCAAAAAAAAAAAAAAAAAAAAAATACTCCTCAGAGACAGTGCCACTGAAGCCCTCACCAATAGTGGTGTAGTTGATGTAATAGTAAGCAGCTATCATGCCCAGGTTCAGAGGCGCCACATCCATCTCATCCTCAATGCTGATGCACTTGGACTGCTCCAGGTCACTCAGGGTCTGCTCCACCAGCTCTGACAAGTGGTCAGACAAGTGACGATGGGATATGCCTGTGGAGGAGAGAGGAAAGTGGGGAGTCTCAGGCGATGCCTAGCAAGGGCTTTGAAAACCACCAAGGATAACATGTGCTCCTAAATCCACTGACCCTGAAGGTTGTAGTAATTGGGGTTCTGTGTCATTCGGCGGTACAAAAAGGTCCAGGTGAGGTAATCCACAGCATCCTGCTTGTTCTCAATGGTCTTGGTGACAATCTCAGCATTGAAGTGGTCATGCATACAGTGGTCTAGGTGAGACTCTACTGGTAATGGCTCATATAAAAACTTTTTGAAGAAATCCTGTGGGTTGAGAGAGGGGAAGCAGTTAATAAAACATCAACAACATGGTCACAAAGGACCAAGGGAAAAATCAATAGGGAGTGGCCCTAATACCAAAAGAAAACATACATTTAGAAAGCAGCACCAC